GAACAAAGTGTCATAAAGGGAGATCCTCCAAAGGGCAGCAGCAGGAATAAATAATACGTTATCAACAGGAATGCAAGTTTTCTGCAATTGTGTTTGCTTACAAGACATAAAAGAAAAATGTAGTATTAAACTTCAAAGCCATATAGAGGTCATCCAAACCATCCTGAAACGGGGAAGGAACCAGAACAACCAGTCTTATTAGCCAGAAGGCCTATGTTTGGAGAAAACAGCAGAAAACAAAGCTCTACTCCTCAGAAGTTTGTTTGGTTCTCGCCTTTTTTCCCTATTGTAAACTGGAACAAGAATAAAATCTTTCAAACACACCAACAGAAACAGAACTGTGTAATCTCTGAAAACAGGAAATTAATTCTACAGCAGTTTTCAAAGCAATAAATAAGAATGTTAAATTTCATTTACTCAAAAGCCTTCTAAATAGCCTTATGTGGAAAAATTTGTGGTAATGCTATTAGTGTCGCTGTTGATATAAAACAGCATACACATGGCTAAATACACTCTTCCTCTAGAATCACAAGTTAGCATGATACCTGAAATAAAGGAAGAAACACAGAAGTGAAAAATACTCAGTTCAGTTTACTAAAATTTCATTCCATCACCTCCCATACAAAAGCAACATTTTAACAAACAAGCCAAACAGAGTTGTGCATTAACTGGTTGGTTAATTCACTAATGCTCCACAAAGTCAAAAGTCGAATATATCACGTGCAAACAAATTGTTTATTAGCAACAATAACGTGTTGCACATTAGCATGTTACTATGTTGCATGCAAAAACGAAAGACTGAATCAAAAATAAAAATCTGGCAGCAGTAGCTTTCATAAGTAGAGTAATGCAAAGTACTCTTGATCATCCTAGCAATCACCGAGCAGTAAGCACAGTTTACCAAGGCACGTTCTAAATGCTCACACGAGGTTACAGTCTCAGGAGAGTGACCATCAGCACTGGAGGGCAGTCAAGCTTATTAGCAACATGTACAACGATGCACACAGTGAGTAATGAAACTTTGCTTACTGAATTATTTTGAAGATTTTTCAGTAGTTCCAAATACTCTCAAAAGAGGCACCTCAGCTGTTCTAGCAAAAAATTCAGCCTGTAATACCTGGAGCCCCGCATTTATTTATTTATTTACAATAGAAAAGAAGGCTTTAGAATAGGCTTTGAGAAGCAATGACAAACATTCAGCACTGCAAAGTACCTTGATCTCAAGGACTCTGATTCAGTACTGCAGTATGAGGTGCTTGATGAAGTGTGCCATAATTGACAGCTAGTCTAGTATTTAATTATAGCTCTAACAATCTGAAAAAAAGAAGAAAAAAGTTAAATTTCAAGCTTGTTAGGGAAAAGAACTAAGCACTTTGGTTGTCACCAGCCTGCAACAAAGCCAGCTCCCCTATGAACAAAGCTCCAATCTGAGCACCAGGCTCACCACCTTACATATATTCTAAGGAATGAGTCCCAAGGAAACTGAAATTCATCAGAACTAAGATCTGTGTGAATGTGGCTAAAGTATTCTACTAATTGCCATTTATTTAACAGAATGTCTGTGACCAAGGCACAATCATTGAAATGTTACAAGCCTACTGCAGCGAACACTCCTCCAACAAGCAACGTGCTGCACTGAACAGCTCTATCAGCTTCTACAGCAGTGTAAATAAAGCTCTGATGATGACAATATAACAAATGCTTTCAGCATCATTTTTATTTATCTCTCATGTATCTCTTGCTTCTAGTACCTGTGTCCTGGGAGTGAAATGAATTTCCTCCTGTCTGGCCCAGTGAAGTTAACAAATGATAATTCCAAGTTTATTTTAATATTAAACTGCTTCAAAGTTTGGTGCCTGATGCAGCTGAGGCAGAAGAAACTTCAGGGAGAGAAGGTGCTACATGAAGAACTATATCCCCCTCCTTGGCACACATGGTGTCAATCGCACACACCTCCTACTCATTTTCAGTTCATGGTAACTTCACTTCAAACGCAGGTTTTTGACACTAAATGAGAAGCATCTGGTCCTCTGCAAGCTATTTCTAGTAAAAATTCATACCTTTAGCTTTAAAAATACTCTCAGCATTGCCGAACACCTAAATAATAGAGATTCAGGCTTAGTTGGCATAGTGAAATGGACTGGACTATACTTCTGAGTTTGGAAATTTTTGTGCTTTATAATGCCTGTGTAATATCTGTTTCAATGCTGTATGTGCCTCCAGACTGGCATAGTGACCTTCATTCCATGCATATTCCAATACTTCAGAAAGATACCAAAAGAAAAGAACTAAGTAAAATCCTACCACACAGGCTATTAGTTTAAGATAATTTACTTTTCTGTACTGATGTGAAATGCTGTGCTAACTAAGCTGTGCCACTTGGAAGATACTACTTGCCATTCATTTTTCTCTCACATATGACTAAGATTTTCTCACCTTCCTCATGACACAGAATACAAATTAAAGACTTTCATTCTTTTAAAATCTTTTTTCTTACACCATCTTGGCTGACAATTCATCTCAGCTTTCCAGCTAATTTCATAAGACAGCATATGTTTCTTTGGGACTGAACTTGGCTCTTGCTGAGCTGGATGGCGTATCTCCTATTCACTTTGAGGGGGAGAAATATCAGATCTTTTTTAGTTCTTTCACACATGCACACAGTACTTCAGGAATATGAAAAGAGCTATCCATATAATGTCATAACTGGCACTTACACTGATGGATTTATCAACTTACAGCTTCAATCATCAAGAAATATTGGAAGCAAGAAACAGTCTTTCAGAAGACTCTCATATCTTTCTGTATGAGAATGCTTCATTCATAATCTTGCCTAGCTTCTTCTCCATTCCCTACATTCACAGATCTTTTCAGTACTTAAATGGAGATATTCACAGCCTATTTTCTTGCTTTACAGTAGTTCTGCATTTAAAAATCAGTATTACACATTCTATTCTCTCTCCATACAGTTAAGTCTATAACTGCATAGGCATTTGATAGGGTTCAACACTGGTCACAGCAATTACTTTGCTGCTTCTCCATGTAACTGGTCACCTGCAGAAGGTATTGTCCTGAAAATCACATGAAAATGGCCAATATTACTTTCGGGTTTTATAACTAAACAAATTGTGCACATATAAACTTTAGCAGAGTTGAGTATCTGCTAATCATAAAAACTCTATGCAAATGATTAAGACACAAAGATGAATAATAAAGCGGAAAAATGCATTGAAGGCAATGCTACTTATGTAAAGGAGAAGAGTGTGGCACCATTAAGAAGCCACTCCCTTAACTGTTAAGTGAATTCAAATCCAAAATAATAAATATAAGAAGGAGGAAGGGGAAAAAAAACCAACAAGCCCTAAGCAGAGAATCTTTTCGGAAAATAGAGATGTTTTGGAGAAGGTAGGAGGCTATTTCCCTTACTGCACTATGTTCACTATTCTTCTTAATAATATTATAAAAATATAGTTGCCTTTTTTTTTTTTTTAAACAGCCCAATTGCTTCCAAAGCTCCGCACCTGAGTAATGAGAGCTCAAAGGCCAAGGACAGGAATAAAAATTTTTGATTCGTATCCATTATATCCACACATATAATCAAGTTACAGTTTTTATATATCAAGTGTAAAATGACAATACATTGTCTGTGAACATATCTCTGTGCAAAGCCGTATCAGTTCATAGAGGTAACAGAATTAGGCTCCAAAGAGTGGGGGGGTTGGGGAAGGGAAGGCGGTTTAGAAATACAGTGAGAGAAATTTGAATTCCGTCAAGGAAGAGGATCTGTATGTTGATGACAGATGTTTGTAGAGTATCAGTTCACTCTTTCAGAGCTACCTGAACCTCTGACACAATAGCGCAAGAAGCCAACACTTAAGCGGCTCTGTTGCCAGAAGGGGAGACTCAGTTGTTCCTCTATCCACCAAAGTTGCACATTTCCTCTCCAAAAACTTAAGCAGAAGATGTAGCAGTCTATCTGCCCTGACCCGCCTCTTCCTTTTAACCTTAAATATTCACCATGCTGAGTCAATGCCAGCTTACATTTCCAGTAGTTTGGTTTTACAGATGCATGAACAGAGGTAGCTAGGTCTTTTTCAGCTTTATGTTGGTGAACTACATGGGAGAAACATTAATGGGCTGTTCACTCTGAGTATTTATGGAAGTATAATGCTACCTGTTCGCAGGGGTTTGGTTTACATGTTCAACAAGCTGTAATTTTTTTTTCTTTTTTCTTTTTTTACTTAGAACTCTTAAGATTTCCCTCTGTGAAACACCTGTTGACTCTACATCATCAGACTACCTACCACGGTGGAAACTACTTCTTTGAGCGCAAGCAAGCTGAACACTAGACATCACTTCCCAGATCCTAGCTGTGCTGAAGAGTAGTTATTCCCAAGTTAAAGGGTCAGAACTCTGACTCTACAGTTTCTGCTCCAGCTAAAATAACCAGAACAATAGGGTAAAATACAATGAGTAGAACTAGTTTCAAGTATTTCCATATTCAGGGTGTAAACAAACATACAAACCTTCTCTAATAGCTTAATTATATAATCCACTTTATATTTTTTAAACTCTGACAGAAGTTTGGTCAACAAGGGTCCTTACGAGGCAAAAAATCAAACACGTTTTAGTGACAGCAGAATCTGCAGTGGCAAATGAAAAATGGAAATAATGCCTGCAGCTTATTTCTTGTCAGTTGCAACAGAGCAAAGTGAGGGAAAGGAAAAACAAATTTACTCTTAAAGAAAGCATGTATCTGCAGACAAATTTGAGATTTCCACTGCACTTACAAAAGAAAAAAGGAGGTTCAGCTTAACTATCATATTCAGACTTAACAAGTAACACTAAGCTAAAGGATATCGGGGGCTTTCAGCAACTCCTCTCTCACCATGTAACTAAGTACCAAGAGCAGCTCTTTGACATATGAGCACCCATATGCTTCATTAGCATGATTTTGCTTTTGAGTCACCACATTCTAAATTACCCTCTCATTTTTTTTCTTTTTCTTTCACCCAGTGAATATAACTAAAGCACACATTGTAAACTGAATTAAAATCCAGGCTGCATACTTTATTCTTTCTAGAGCTGATGGGTAAGTCAAACATAATGGTGGTTCACAATCTCCAGGTAAGTTTAAGACACAAACCACATACAATTTACATATATAGAGAAACCACTCCAGTGAATTTATATTGAGTAGTTAAATCACTGTAATTACCCACTTTGTTTCAGAAATATAACAAAAGAGCATGAAAGTCTTTAAACATAAAAGCCTTTGCAGTTTACCCTGTTTGTTAAAAATAAGCCTGATATTTGCTTTAAATGGTTTTTTTTATATCCTGATGCTGATAGATAATTACAGTTCCTTCTTCTTGAGATCCCAGAATGACAATTAATGAATCTCTTGTGCAAAACTGAACAAGCAGCTCTCACTTCAAATTATCTGTCTTTCAGGAGTATTTATTACGTCAAGAGTCAGATGCTGGCTCAGGAATGCACATGATACTGCAAATCTCAGTTAAACATGCATTAATGGGCTTTTAATAGAGCCCAAGACTATGAGTAGCCTAGTTATTCCAAATAATTTCTATGACAACATACAGTCCTGAAAAATGATGATTCTGATTCATAACCATACTTCTAATTATAAGTTTCACCTTCCTCTAGCACCACAAAAAAACTCCTTCTGGCAGCAATCAGTATGACTTTCAATCAATAAAAACTGCAACCATATAAAAAAATCCAAATCAACAGAAGTGATAAGCAATTACAAAAACATAAGAAAATCAGTAATGGATCAGTCTAGAAGTCATCCAGCCAGTATCCTATCTCCAACTGGCTGATCAAAGTCACTCTTGTCTTGAAACCCACCTCACAGTCTAGTTTACTACTGACATCTTGACCAAAGGGGTGCCACTGGCTTTTGGAGATGCCACGTCTTTAGTTCACCTAAACCAAACAATGCAACTTCTCCCTTCTTTCATCAGGTCTTCTCCATATAATCATATCCAGCCATTCCTCTTTAAGTAAAACTCTATTTATACCAGACACATAAAATTATTTCTACCACTCAAGGCTGAGAACTGCCTCGCAGGAAAGGTTTAAATTTGTATAAAATTGTCTTACCACATCCTGTTTTAAGTGATCACAAATCACCATTATGACAAGTCTCCCTATCACTTCATGAAATGAGCTAAAAGTTGCTAAACAACTGAGAAAAATAAATGTCAAAGAAGATATAACTAGTGGATGTTAAAGTCACCTTTATCACAGCACAGGTAGCTATGTCAGGGGTGTTCACCTGTATCAGCTTTGTTTACTTTAAGACTAGATAGAAACATTGACAAAACAACTTTTTCTGCAACCAGGCTGCAAAAACAATGCTGTCTCTGAACCCACAAATATTTCTGTGAACCCTAGCCGAAAGCCTTCTTGCTGAGCAACTGCTCGGATTTGTGCCATCACGGGGAGCACATGTGCTCTCAGAATTTCCAGAGAACCCTGGGAGAGACTGAATTCTTCTGCTTCCATTTACTCTCAGTTCCACTAATCTGTCCTCGAGTAAGCCTGCAATGAGATTAAAATAATGACTCAGTCATTCTACCCTCCCTCTTCACAAACAAATTACTCTTCTGTTTTATTCTTTTCTCCTACATCATTGTCAGCTGGCCATATCACCTGATACAGATTTCCTGAAGGGCTGTTTGCTCTTTTTAACTTCAAATGCAATAGGGAGTAGAGATTGCATCATATCAACAATACTACCTTAAAATGGCAAAGACTAAAAACATGAGAGCGGAAAGCTAAAAACACAGATGTCTCCACATCTGCTTAGCAAAGGGACATAAAATACCAGCTAGCAAAGCCCCACAAATACGTTGGTGCTGGAGAAAGCAGAACAGAATGCTCACTTCTCCTCTCCTGACAAACCCATCCCCATCTCCTGATAAACCAGTCTCCACCAGCATCAGAAATCAAAGGATATTCAAAGGGCGATGTGAATCACCAGGAATGGACACAAACTCCGGGGGACTGCACCTTCCAGCATAAAAGCAGTTGACATGCTGCAAACATAATTTAATTTTGACTAACAACAACAACAACTTCATATACTGTGGCCTGTGAAGTTTGCTTATTCTGTCTTTGGCTAAATACCTTCTCGCTCACATCTATAGCTTGTACTGCCACCAGAGCAGGAGCCTACAACAGGCACGTTAAACCCTTTCCCTTATATACACAAAAGGTTCCTGTTCTATCAGGAAAACAACTTCTCTCAAGTTGGTTTACAACTTACTGTTTTGTATTATAACTCATGTTGGTTCCCACCTAACGATGCTCCTTATGTCCCCCTGCTGCTTTCTTTTTAAAGAGGATTAGATCAAAGAAATAAAATAGTTTAGCCCAGTGCTTTCTGTATTAATATACAGGCTGGAGAAAACTGTATGCACAAGTGCCTAATACAGACCAACAATGTATCCTCCACATAAAAACCAAAGCAAAGAGCACACTCTAAGTACATATTTTGACAATCAACTGATCAAGTAGACAAAGGAATGGATTTTATGATGTGTAACTCTAACTATTAACTATTCTCTAGTTAATAAGGCAGCTCTAGAGCTCATTAAACTATCTCCTCTGCCATAACAGCATAAAATTTGCTCACAGACATGCTTTACAATACTAAGATACAGTGTGTCTTTGCTAGCATCTACAGATCAGGAGCGCACCCCTCTCCCAATCATTCTGTTGCCCAGGCTTTGTTTCACATTGTGGATTGGTCTCAGGCCAGTTCACCTGGTTTCCCTGAAGATAATGCTAAAGCGGAACACATAGACCAAGGAGACACCTAACACATGCCAGCTAGGACTGGTCCTTCAGTCCAGACAACCAAACTAATTTATCTCCAAAACACACACAGTATGAACATAAGGTCCTCAGCACCGTTTACGCCCACAAATGGGCTTCTATTGTGCCACAGCACCTGCTACAGCAAACACAGCCACAAATATCAAGATTAAATTTTAACTTTTCCCCGCACTATTTGAGTGAGAGAGGGAAACATAATCTCTCTCCAAGAAAGGAATAAAGCATGTGCTATATCGTAACAGAGGCTTAGATCTGTGAACAGATACAAGAAGTCTTCTCATTTGGATCCTAATCAGGCACCCTCACCATGAGGCTAGCATGCCAAGAAAAGATAAGAATAAGAAGGTACATAATGCTGTGCTGGGTCTGGGTGAGGTGGTTAATTCTCACCATAGCAGCCCTTTCTGTGTTGTGCTTTGCACTGGTAGCTGGAAAGGTGCTGACAACACACGAGTGTTTTGGCCACTGCTGAGCAGTGCTTCCACAGCACCTAGGCTGCCTCTCCAACACTACCCTCTCACCAGCAGGCTATGGGTGGGCAATATCTTGGGAGGGGACACAGTCAGGACAGTCGACCCTAACTGACCGAAGGGATATTCCATACCATCTGCTCAGCAATAAAAGCTGGGAGAAAGGACGAGGAGGAGAGAGGGAGCATTCATTATTACCATGTTTTCTTCCAGAGCAATCACTACGTTACCCAGGAAGTGGTGGACATCATCTGCTGAAAGGACATAGTGAATAAATATTTTGTTTTCCTTTGCTTTTGTGCAACATGGGCTTTGCTTTTGCTTTATTAAACTGTCTTTGTCTTGACCCATGGGTTTTTTTCCATCTTGTTTCCTCCCTCCTCATCCTGCTGAGTAGGGGAGTAATAGAGCAGCTTGATGGACACCTGTTGTACAGTCAAGGTCAACCCACCACAGCCACACCTTAAATAAAATGATGTATCCCCAAGCAAAGTTTAAACTGACCCCAAGACACTATTTCTTACTTAAGTCAAAACTTGATTGCAGTACAGACTCTTTCAACTTACATGCCACTGAGCAGAATTACAAGATGACCAACTTGATTGATGAAGAAAGGACATAAAGTATCATTTTCCTACATTATATTTGAATATATTAATTAAAATTACCTTTCTCTTCTTACAAAGGTGTTTCCTATTCCAGTTGTGATTTAGTAAACAAACATCTTTGTTCTTATTTACACAGACATTGTCACAATGCCATTGTTCTACATGTAAAATAAATATAAGTCAGTCTACTTACCAAAGCACAAGAACAGATCTCAGGGTTTTTTTAAGTTGAGCAAATACCAAGAACAATCCCAGGCAGTAAGTTAGTAGATAAACATTTCAAGTAAATATAGTTCTGGCTACAAAGAAAAACATCTAGCCAAGGAAAGCAGCACAAAACTAGGTGGCTTTTGTAGGAACAGAAATACCGCAACAGTTCATTGAACCTCCCTGCTTTCTAAACAGCAGTAATCCAATAAATCTACTTAAAACTGCTAAGTAAGTGCTGTCTTAGTATTTGCCACCACCAAAACTGATAGATTCCCATCTAAAATAAAACCAGATAATATTAACATCATTTATTTTTACTTGTCTTTTCAAAAGCACCATATTGTCAAATATCTCACAGAGAAAGGATAGGGGCTAAAGGGTAAAAGGAATCACCCAGCACACAGCAAGACCATCTCATATGAATTGACAGCGTAATGCTTATGTCCAAATGTGCTTCTCCACAGTCTGAATTCAGACATTTTAGGAAAGCTGAGGTTTTATTTTAACTGTACTTTTTTCTCCAATCTTCTCTTACCTGGCAGGATCATTTAAAAGAGGCTCAGCGATGTGAAAATTCCCAAATTCTCCAATTCTCTTGAAGGAGTGTCTAACTTGCTACTGTTTTATGATACAAAACCAACTGTATCTTTGGTTTGCTATTCACAAGGAAAGCAAACTGGTGATAAGGCTCAAGGTCATGAAAATTCACTGTAGCACATGCACCAAATCAAAGTGCTCACCTGCTGGTTTCCCAGTCTTGGTCATCCTTATCTTTTTCTTCTTTGGCATCAGAATTGTGTGGGTGTTTCTGCACAATCCGCATCCCACCAGCTTTCACTGGAATGAAAATTAAACAGACAAAACAAACCTCAGTCAAAATACCATAAGAAGAAAGTTATAAGCATGACCCTCCCCACTTGCTTTCTGATACTTTACAGAGTAGTTTAATGGTAATCACAGTTTGAAAAAGGGGCCTGAAGTGTAAAAAAGCAGCAAGCCTGAGGAACAGCTACTTCAGGACCACATCTGCCATTCTCTTTTACATCATGCCATCTTTGCTTATCCTGAGAAGCTGCAGGTCATTTTATCATCTGCTTTCAATGTCATTTCAGAAAACTCAACGCTGTTTTAACTCCCCCTCCACCTCCTACTAACTTGCAGCAGTCCAAAGAAGAAACTGAGGCAATGACTTGCACAAAAGGCCACAAACATGAATGTTAAATACTCCGATAGAACAAGAAGGGTCAAAGAAACTTACTTGTCATTTCAAGTTAAAAAAGTACATCTATAATAATAGTATTTATACAAAAAGTACTTTACAAATAGTGTAACAGAAAGGAAAGCTTAGAAGGACCGTTAACTTGCATTTAGAATGGAGCTTTTTGTTTTGTAAAACATATTAGCATTTATAACATTTCAAATGCTTGCATCATTTAGTTTTAGAAATGATGCAAATGTGAAAGCATCCCTTTGAAACACAAAGCAAGAAGTGAAAGCAAATCCACTTATGTTCATCACTTATCCACTCCAAATCGCAATACAAAACAGGAACCAAGCCAGGCTTAACACTGCAGCTACGAAGCAGAGCAACAGGCAGGCTGCTCTTGATCTGCTTTCTGTTTCAACAGTGTACTTTTTTTTCTTCAACCACTGCTACACACGCTTACAGGACAGCACAGGACAAGATGATGCATCTCATTAGCTAACTGGATGGGTTACACTGCCATCAGCAACCCCATAAGAAAACCACTGTAGTGGTCAGAAGTCAATAAAACCATCTACAGACCCGCTGGTTTGTGTTTCACATTGCCTTGACAGAGCAAGCCTTAGTCAGACTCGGCAGAGATGTCACAGCTGGAGTGAGCAGGATGCCAGAGCAGCCATCGGAAGAAGCTGAAGCCCTTGCCAGCATGGCTGAGGGAAGCTGTACTTCTGACAGCCCTCCTGTGTCCAGCCACAGAGGGATTAGGGCACCTCACAGTAGTTCAGTGCTAATCCCTGAAACCTAGGCACAGGTCTAGTGCTCAATTCTTAACCAGGACAGCAATGGAAAGGACAACACTGCGCTTAAATTCTACAGCCTGTGTGAAGGCAATCAGGAAAGAGAAATTGACCTGCCCTAGGAGAAAGTGACAGCTCTTTGGCCCTGCTTTTTAAAAAGAGATTTTAAGCTTTTTATGATATTTGAAAGGCAAACTTCTGATTCAATAAAGGTCATTAAGTAAAGTTAGGCAATCAACAGACAAACCTAAAGAAATATCTTTCAAAACCTATCAAAATTGTGTCCTCTTACCATGCATCAAAAAAAACAACCCCTAAACCCAGATCACTAATCATTTTGTGTTCTGTCTCCAGCATAAAACTTATACTTCAATAGGTGAGAAATGTTTCACATGGGACAAGGAAGGAGAGGCAGTTTAAAAGCTATATTTTTTGTTGCCTAAAGTGAAGCAAAGTTAAAATTCCAATTAATTTTTCTTGATTCAAGCTCCTTAGGAATTTCAGTTTGTTTGCAAAAGCAAACACCAAGAGTTCTGCCAAGTGCTGTCTTCTTTTAATATCTCAGTTAATGAAAGTGATTGGTATGTTTTATTGATCTTAATTTACAAATTAATAATTTGAATTAATGTCTATATTTAACATCATTGCACAATCAGTTATTATTTATTTCAAATTACTTTTTGTGGAAGATGCTGTCTCCACAGCAACATCTGTCAGAGTTACAAATGGCACCTCTGAACAATACACACATCTCCATGTCCTTCACCATCTCGTAGAAAAGTAAAAAAATCAGTACCTGAAGATTTAGTGCTAATTTAGGTGGTCTAAAATCTCTCTCTTCTCATATTGTATATCATCAGGCCACCAGCCACTTGTTTTCTCTTTATCTGTCACTGGAAAAGATATGCAGCTAACATGTTCAGATTTGTCTGTATGAAGAATTAACAGGGATTAAAAAGCAAATAACCAGATAACTAAAAGGCATAACAGTGACTGAGTAATGCAGCAACTTAATATTTTTTATAATCTGATTTTTTGAACTAATATCAGCAGGAATAGTATAGACACCTTAAAGTAATTCGGTGCATAATTAATAATACTTAGTAATCTGAGGTTACTGTGCAGACCTGGGAAGCCAAAAGAAGAATCCAGCAAACAACTGCCATAATCATGTGTATTTCTGAGACCAAAAGTGAAATAATTAGATCAGCATTCTGTACATATAGCTGATGTACATTTCTGCCACCCATGACACAGCATGCTCATACCTAATCTAGTTTCAAGAGATTTAGCTTAAGAAGATAAAGTACTCTTGCAGCAAAACTCACCTTCCTTTTCAAAAGGTTTCAACTAATCTACACTACGTTGGAGAGAGACAGAGAGAAAAAATTATGATTATGTCCACCAAGCTAAAGAAAAACTCACTCCATTTGGGAAAATTTCTTGGGAGTTATGAGGATTCATCTATTGCGTACTTGCCTAGCATTTACTACACAATTTGGCAGATGCTTACCATGGTGATTTGTCATTTAAAAATCACCCTTAAAAGAGCTCAGATTTCCTTGTAATAAATCCTGCAGAGAAAGGAACTAAGTAAATGATAAACCACCTTTCAGAACGCTGTCAGAAATCAGTGCCCAGAAGTGGACGGTGTCAACAACAATATGTTGGTATTAGGAAGAAAGCAGCTCCTGTGCAAAAGAGCAAGAGGAGAGCTTAGGAGGGACCTGTGCTAAGGCAAGAGGGGACCGGGAACAGCTCCCCGGGGTGGTGACAGCCAAGAGACAACCAGTCTCTGAAGTGTGAAATAAAGAAGAGATCATCTGCCAGCATGCTCTGAGAAGAGCAACAAGTCTGTTTGTCTCACTGCTGGATATGAGACAAGTTTTGGATTTTAATTACCATGTCATGTTTTTTCCCCCTTGAGAGTCACACAGGACTACCTTGTCTGCTCTGTGAATGCCAGCCTGTGGTCCTCTTAATGGTATGACTACTCCTTCAATCTAGAGTGGGAATGCACTCTACTTTTTCTTCTCCTCCCCCCACTGTTGTGCTTATTTCAGACTCTTCCCAGTCTCTGAGACTGAATTCTGAAATAAAACCCACTGAGTTGGAGCAAGTACCAAGTACCTAGAGAAGCACTATAGATCAGCGATGGCACTGGCCCCAGCTCGCTCACAGTGCAGGTTTCCCCTAAATAGCCCGTTGGTCACAGCATCTGGGGAGGAACTTCTAGAAATCCAGATTATAACCAAGAGTTTTAGAAGGTTCCCCTTTTCCTCGAGTATGGTATTCAATATTAACATGAAAATTTATTTCTTATGTACTGTGTAATAACAGATTCCATTACAATGATAAGATGGATGAAAAGGGAAACACAAAATATGCCCTTGTGCAAGATTAAGGGAGCATACATTAGTGTCCAACAA